GGAGTAGTTATTTATATAGTTATTATTAGATTTACAGAGAAGTTGCAAAGTTAGTATTTCTTATATGCCTTTCATTGCATTTCTCTTAATGTTAATATCTTTTATGATAAGGTACATTTGTCAAAACTAAGAAATTAACATTGATATGTTACTATTAAGTAAACCATGAACAATTCAGATTTCACCAGTTTTTGTACTCATGTCCTATTTCTGTTCCGAGATACAATCTAGCATACCACATTGCATTCAGATTACCTTTGTTTTTAATATAACCTATTTAATTTTAAGTTTATACGATTTAATTTTAACAGTCTCTGTTTCAAAACTGGCTCAAAAAATTCTGGAAAACTAAGCAATCAGCCTTTGGGAACAGGTATGAGCTCATTCTAGCACATCCCTGCACTGATTTTTGTAAGTCAAAAAGGATAGAACATGAATAATTCCTGATGGCTCAAACTATAGATTATCAGCATCTCAGGGGGTGAATCCAGGGTTTTGTTTTTTTTTTTTAAATACGGAGTCTCACTCTGTCACCCAGGCTGGAGTGCAGTGGCGCAATCTCGGCTCACTGCAAGCTCTGCCTCCTGGGTTCACACCATTCTCCTGCCTCAGCCTCCTGAGTAGTTGGGACTACAGACACCCATCACCACACCTGGCTAGTATTTTGTATTTTTAGTAGTGACAGGGTTTCACCGTGTTAACCAGGATGGTCTCGATCTCCTGACCTCGTAATTGGCCCGCCTCCCAAAGTGTTGGGATTATAGGCGTGAGCCACTGCACCCGGCTGAATCCAGTGTTTTTAAAAGATCCAGGGTAGACGGTTCTTAAGTTCATCCAGGGGTCAGGACCTCTGCAGAGATGAGGACATGAGGCCTAGCACAGTTAAATGACTTTCCCACGGCCACACGGCGGGGCAGTATCGGCGCCCAGCCCCAAACCCTGGTCTCCAGATTTCCTTCCTCATGCCACACTGTGTCAAGTGGGTGGAATTTGTAAGGGTGAAACTGTGTCTGTGTCTAAACCTAGAGATTTTGATTTCTCTTAATCAGGGGAAATGATATTACTCTAAAAGCTCAGCCACCCTGAGGACACAGATCACTGGAGAAAAACTTCAGGCTAAGAATTCCTCGTGGTAGCTTTGTGAGTAGACGAAAGACCACTGGATCATATACTCCATCTTTATAAAAAGGGTGAATTTTATGGTATGTGAATAATATCAAAATCTTTAAAAAATTCCTAATGAGAGACAATCTACAAAATACCTGATCATTACTCCTCAAAACTGTCAAGGGCATGAAGAACAAAGAAAGTCTAAGAAATTGTTCCCAGCAAGAGGAGCCTATGGAGGCAAGACTGCAAAATGTAATGTGGCATCCTGAATGGGATCCTGGGACAGAAAAAGGACACTGGAGAAAAACTGAGAAGTGGTGAATAAAGATGAACTTAATGAATGATAATATTGCATGAATATCAGTTCACAAATTGTGCCAAAAGTACCATTTTAATGTAAAATGTTAATAATGGGGAGACTGGGTAGAGCGTATGTAATTCTGTAACTCTAAAACTGTTCATGATAAAGTAAAAGTTTATCATGAAAAAAATAAAGAATTCATGGAGGGAAAAACAATATAGGGCAAGTCATCAACCCTCTCAGGATGTCAGTTTTTA